GCGAGCCTCGCCTCTCTTGTCTCTTGCTCTTTGATCATTGGACCAGTGTGCGGCTGCCTCGCCTGTTCTGTGCCTCAATTTGCAAGCTACACTACCTGTGGGACACCTAACTCGTGGACTGCGTCGCTGTAATTTGAGGTTCCTTTCAGACCTGCTTCGCCACACCATTGGAATTTACATCTCTTGTAAATTGTCGGACCCTGTCATCTGGCTGACTGTTGGTGACCTGCCTTGCTGTTTGCTGCCTGTGACCGGACAGCCTGAATTGCTCTACAGAGGACTCAGCTATCTGCTCCCTTGACTTGCACCCGGCGGCCCTCAAGACATGAAGGACTGCCAGTGTCTCACAACTGTCTCACAGGAGTGAGTTCCACTGAGCCATTTGTACTGCTTTATAACTTAATTAACTGTTTATTTCTTAGGTTACATATCTATCTATTTGTATAAATACATATAAAATCATTAGCATTCCGGTTTTGTTTCTCTAGAGAGCCCTGTCTAACGCACCATGCTGGGTAAAAATAGACGGGTCAGTGAACAAGAGGAAGACCCTCAAAGAGATGTGGTGGACGTGGTGGCCGCCACATGGTCCACACAGCAACAATGGCGAGGTGGGCGCCGGGCAGGGCGGTGTTTGGACATGGGGTCGCTGTGGGTCAGAGCCAACGGCCCTGTACCTGATCCACAACAACCTCTCCATGGAGCCCTGTTGGCAGCATGGCTCCCTGCTCACTTGCTGAGAGGTTGGAAGTTAAAACCCCCGTGACTCCGGGGAGAAAGGGCTGGTCTCCTGCTCCGGGGATTACAGTCCAGCACACCCCCTGGATCCGTTCCGCTTGCTCACACCCGTCGGGATCCACCCATCACACCACCCGCCTCTCATCCCCACAGGAACCCGGTCTCCCTAGAGGGGGCCTCCTCTCCAGTCCGCGCAAACCTAGGTCAAGCCTTCAGGCGAAAGGGAAGCTGGGATGGGAGGGCTCAATGGCCACTGCTGCCCTGTAGCTAGTGGGCACTGGGGCTCAGGGAGGCGTGGGGCAGAGGCAGGCTCAGATAGAGGTGCCATCTCCAATAGCCTTGTGCCCAGGTGGTGCCCCAGGACGTGAGCAGTGCCCTGGTGGCACAGCCACTGGCCTGTGCGTGCTCTGTAAGCACAAACACACGACAGAGTAAGGGAGCAGGGTCCCGGGTGTCATGCCCTCCTGCGGGGCCCACACAAGCACCAGGCAGGGAGCTCGTGGTGGCCTGGTGGCACGGCCCCAGCCTGAGCCCCTGCCCCACCCGCAACACACACACACACACACACACACACACACACACACACACACACATGTGCCAGCCCTGCCCACATCTGTATCAGGGAGGGCGCGGGGCCCAAGCCTGCTATGCCCCGACCCCCCACTGGGCTCACCTGGAAGTGATCAAGCATCTGCTTCCATGACAGCAGCAGCAGGGACTCCTTCCGGACCTTCCTGGGGATCTCCGAGTAGAGCAGGGAGTTCTCCCGGCTGCCGTAAGGCATTCCTGGGGGACAGGGAGGCAGGGCGGTTCAACGGGAGAGCACTCGCTGTCAACAAGCCAGACCCGGGCTATGCCCGGCCAGCACCTGTCTGTCCACGGGGGCAGCCCTGCGGCAAGATGCTGGACAGGTCCCAGCGGAGCTTCCAGACGCCTGGCAGTGGACTTCCAAAAACCACCCAACGGACCCCAGTGATAATCACACAATGGTGGGCAGTGTGACCGTGGGCCGGCTCAGGACCCGGCAGGCTTTCGTCCCGCCAAACAGGGGACTGTTGAGACTCAGGGTCTGACCAGGACACAGGGAG